ATTAATATGTATGACCCTAATTGTCCATTTAAATACATAGTGTAAGATTGACCAACTATTATAATCTATTAAATCAAATCTGAAATCTAATCCAATATTAAAGGAAGCGTGAAGATGGGGGCTGATGGCGACTACAGAATTACTAGATTAACACATTTATAAACTAATAAAGTATGTTTGTTGACTGTATTAATTATGTATTTTAATCATAATCCCCCCCCCTCCTCCGTAGAAGTTTACAACGACGACATTGGTTTGTTGGAAATATTTTAGTAGGAGTGGTTGGTGGGTTCGGAATATATTAGTAGGAGTGGTTAGTGGGTTGGGAATACTTTAGTAGAAGTAGTTGGTTGGTTGGGAATATTTTAGTAGGAATGGTTAGTGAGTTGGGAATACTTTAGTAGGAGTGGTTGGTGGGTTGGGAATATATTAGTAGGAGAGGTTGGTGGGTTCGGAATATATTAGTAGGAGTGGTTAGTGGGTTGGGAATACTTTAGTAGGAGTGGTTGGTGGGTTGGGAATATTTTAGTAGGAATGGTTAGTGAGTTGGGAATACTTTAGTAGGAGTGGTTGGTGAATGTAATTTTAAATAGATGTAATTTTAAATAGCTGTAATTTTAAATAGCTGTAATTTTAAATAGATGTAATTTTAAATAGATGTAATTTTAAATAGATGTAATTTTAAATAGCTGTAATTTTAAATAGCTGTAATTTTAAATAGCTGTAATTTTAAATAACTGTAATTTTAAATAACTGTAATTTTAAATAGCTGTAATTTTAAATAGATGCAATTTTAAATAGATGTAATTTTAAATAGATGTAATTTTAAATAGCTTTAATTTTGAATAGCTGTAATTTTAAATAGATGTAATTTTAGATAGCTGTAATTTTAAATAGATGTAATTTTAAATAGATGTAATTTTTAATAGCTGTAATTTTAAATAGCTGTAATTTTAAATAGATGTAATTTCAATTGAATCTCTATTTTTATTGTGGGCATGGACGATTTCACAACCCTTCCAACCTTTATCTAAACAAGAATTCGGGAGATATCGTCGTTATTTAAACTTAAAAAGTGTCTTATTCTGAAAATTTGTTTTTGAAGCGGAATCCCGCAATATACACAGAGAAACCATGAATTAAAAAATCACTAGAAGGACAATCTTTGAACTGGATTTTGTTCCTTAAAATAAAGAAAAAAATTTAAAAATTTTATTCTAGAGTTTTAATTAATCTATTAAATTATCGTTTCATATCATTAAATGCCGATTTCTAGATATATTAGTAAAGCTTAGATACTTGTTTTAACCTTAAAGGGAATGTGACCTTATTTCCAGTGAACCTTCATTTAAAGAGTAAATTGTCCAATTCACAACGTTACCCTTAAAATGTCGGCGTTTTCTAACATGAAAGTATTAAATCTTAAAAATTGTTTCTGCAATCCCTTTACAGGAGAACCTCAGTCAAAGTAAATACATTTTGTTAGCATATGAATGATTTCCCAATCAGATAACAGTTGAAAGATACCGTTGTGAATCGTGTATGCCACTGTATAAATGAAGAGCTACTAGAAATTAGGTAATTAAGTAAGCCTTGAGGGTCTGTTTTCTTTAATTTCGTTGCGTCGAGGTTTAGTGACTATAATTCTAATTTCAAGAGGTTTAGTGATTTTATTTCTCTACTCGAAAGGAAAAAAACAATTATGAAGAATTAAGACTTCAAAGACGACTGTATGCAATTTGATTAGTATTTTCTTATATTCCTGGCTCCCTGCTGCAGTCTTTTTGATTTTTTTTCTCATTGATCATTGATCATTGATCATTTTGGACTCTTTAAAGGCGAGATTGACTAATTTTAATATTGTTTAAAGATTTTTAGGTTCTTAATATAACTCTCATTTTTTGAGTGTATCTGTTTTTATTTTAACAATATCTACGGCTCCTAGGTTTTTAATTAAAGAGACTGTAAGCGTAATTTCAAGTGACTCTCCTTGATGGGAATGCCCGATGCTTAATGGTACCCGCCTTGAAATCTTTATCTGATAATTATGTGGAAGATATTGTCCTTTCTAGGTTTTAAAGTGCTTAATTCTATAAATTTATTCATTTTCTTCTTAGTGGAAATTTTGTAGAAAATCACTCTTGAAAAAAAATCAGTTTTCAAAAAAAAAATGATATCCAATTTATACTTGATCAGACAAAGCTTTTAAGGGTACCGTTGTGGTTCAAGCATTTCCATCTGTACAGTGTACATGGAGGGTCTCTTGAAATTAAGCTTACAGTCCCAGAAAGAGAGCTTACGGTATTCTATTATTTGATTTTCTTATCATTTTAACACTTATTCATTACAACTGCATTATACATTCCTCATCTTCTCAAGTTTTGCTGGATTAAGACTGAGGTGGAGGGGGAGGGGGGTGTAACAAAGAAAACGGCCCCTGAGGCACAAAAAGGGGCCTCATTGTGCTCATTTTTATTTTTAAGTAACTGAGGCCGAATTTAAAGAATATGGTTGGTTCCATTTAAAATTGTATTCAATGTTACAAGATTTAAGCAGGTGCTCAACTAAAACCGGTTTTGGCGGTTTTAAGACGCGGCTCAAATTCATTAAATTCGGACTCTGGTAAACTAAATGCTTTATATGAAGATCTAAGAAGATTGCTAAATTTCATCTTTCTATTCGACAGTTTTCTGGGTTCCACTGTATCCCGTTCCTTCCTTGAAACTCAAATTCTAGAATATTTTTTCTTTTAAGAAATGCATTTTGATTTTACTGAAGTATGCCTTAAGCACAAGTATAAAAACAATTAAAAATCACTGACTGACTAGAGTTATGTTTACTTATTGATAACAAAAACGTTGTTGAGAAAAGCCTATCTATATTCTGTACTAAACACTAGAGAAAAGTAGTATTATCGGTGTAAAAATTCGCTCAGTTAGTGTAAAACACTTGACTTGAACACATCTTTTTATCTCACATAATCCGATACGAAGAATAATACTTTTAATGATATCAATCATAAATATTAACGTAATTTACATAGTAAAGGCTTTTAGGGTGCTTTGCACCCCCTTTTATACCATAGTATAGGCTTTTAGGGCGCTTTGCACCCCCTTTTATACCATACTATAGGCTTTTAGAGCGCTTTGCACCCCCTTTTATACCATAGTATAGGCTTTTAGGACGCTTTCAACCCCCTTTTACACCATAGTATAGGCTTTTAGGGAGCTTTCTACCCCCTTTTATACCATAGTATAGGCTTTTAGGGCGCTTTCTACCCCCTTTTACACCATAGTATAGGCTTTTAGGGAGCTTTCTACCCCCTTTTATACCATAGTATAGGCTTTTAGGGCGCTTTGTACCCCCTTCTATACCATAGTATTGCTTTTCGGGCGCTTTTCACCATAGTAAAGCTCTTTCGGGCGCTTTGCACCCTCTTATATACCATAGTATAGGCTTTTAGGGTGCTTTTCACCCCCTTCTATACCATAGTATAGGCTTTTAGGGCGCTTTTCACCCCCTTTTATACCATAGTATAGGCTTTTAGGGCGCTTTGCACCCCCTTTCAGCAAAAAGTAAAGCTTTTAACTGTTATTATTCATCATACATAAATGATCACAAAATTAATAAATTTCCACAATCGTAAAAATCGGATTTTTTCCAGGTAACATTTTTTATTTTAGATAAGCAATAAATCTTTCCTCGGATCACAAAATACTTTGGTCCAAGGTTCAGCCGTTTAGAAGTTTATTGAATACAAACAGACAGACAAACAGACAATATATTTATAGAAGAATATAACATTAGTATAATATTTTATAGTAATATTATATATTATGGTAATATCATATATTATTATAATAATATATCATTAGTATAATATTTTATAGTAATATTATATATTATGGTAATATCATATATTATTTCCCAAATGTGCAACTTCCCAAGTCTGTCCTAGCCGCAGCACTCCCCCCCCCCGCCTGTTCTAGCCGCAGCGCCCCCCATTGAAGCCTGCGGCGCTTCAGAAGGTGTGTCCTATAACCTTGTTTCCCAAACTAGCCCAACTAGACAAAGTAGACAAACTTGACATGTTAGACAAAGGAGACTAATTGTTTTGAATTTGGGAAGTTGCCACTTGTGAAGTCGCACTAGGAAAAACACCTTTTAAAATGCAATTTTCTATGTCATGTCATGTCGTCATGTCGATATGCTTTTATCCAACAAATGTCAACCAGGCGCGTAGTGGAAGTTTTGCTAGAATGGTGCACTTTTGGCGCGCGTAAACGCGCCGATTTTTTTTTTGCACCCCCTAAATAAACCGGTATTAATCTACCTGAAGGATGTGACCGTGATTATCAATCATACCATTATAAAATCTTGTAGAAAAAGAGCAAAAACTTTTTTTTTTTAATTTCTAATTTTTTCATCATATTATATTACATCATGATTAGATTACACTAGAGACAGTATTATTTAAAGCTTTTTCACATACCTAAATCTGTATTTGTGGCGCTTTGTGAGAGAAAGACGTCCTAAAACATTGTTGATAGAAATGTTCTCAAATTTCCCTATATAAATATTCCTTTACCAATAAATAGACCCGGTGGGTAATGTTTGCATCTACATTATACATATTGATGATGAAGATTGTTCAATCCATGGGTTAAAATAAGAAATATTAAAGAAATTTTATGCGCCTCGTCAACCCTGTTCAACCGATCGAGCCTAAATTTCACGACATTCCCAACATTTAATTTAGAAATGCATTTAAATAAAATTATAAATCAAGCTAATTTTCTGACACATTGAAAAGAAGTAATAATTTTAAAAAAACATTTTAAATGTCTTGTCAATTCTTGAATTACAAACTATGTCACATTCACATGGGCGAATTAGTCAAAATGAGAGATGAGTGATTTGTTTTTTTATTCAACAATTAAAAATTTTATTTCAGTTTTGATCGCTTTTGAAATAGAGAACGTGTTTTTTCGTTACAAAATTGATAAACAATACAGTATATTTTTCAGATTATAATTTGTTAAACCTCTGCAAATATGAGAAACTATAAATACTTTCCGTTTCAAAAATTCCTCTCCGAATGTCTAGGTATGTTTGTTTAAAATACATTTTTTGAAATCACTGTCGTCTTCTATTTTTTAGCAATTTTTTTTGTTGTCGTCGTCCTTTTTCCTTTTTAGTTTTGTGGAAAATTGGTCGTTTATTAAACGGAAAGAGCTAGGAATAATTTAGTCTTTAAAGGGATTGTACGCGTGATTTCAAGTCATCCTTCATGGAAAGATGGTGACGCCCGATTTAAAACCTTGAGGCCCTAACATGATCAATAATGTGAAAAATATTGTCATTTTTCTTGCTTTATAAATGTTTTATTAAAATGTTTTCCTGTATTAAAAATGCGCAAACAATTGTGAAGAGAAACCACAATTGAAAGTTAAGTTAACAGTTTTTAAAATTATAAACATGGATATATTATTCACACTTGGAATTATAAACCCCTAGGAAGGATATCTGAATCCATCCAGTATAATTATAAACCCGCTGGAAAAATATCTGAATCCCTCCAGTGGAATTATTAACCCCTAGGAAAGATATCTGAATCCATCCAGTGGAATTATAAACCCCCTGGAAAGATATCTGAATCCCCCAGTGGAATGATAAACCCCCTGGAAAGATATCTGAATCCCTCCAGTGGAATGTAAATCACCCTGAGCTGCGTGAAGTTTTAAATTGTAAAAAGCATTTTTTCAAACCCCTCCAGGGAAAATAGATTCTCTCCGATGGTCTCCAGTGGACTCAAAATCTTACCACGAACTTCCGTGACTCTATGTTTAACACGTTTTACAGTTCCAAAGGGCAATATTTATATCTTTTATTCTTCAAATATTGAATGGCATTCATTTTCGTATTATTAATATTTAGTCAGAAATTTATAAATTTAGCATAATTTTTTTAATTATAATTATTATCCGTAGGAACTGCTGTGTTAGTGCTGGTTGCGAAAGGTGCAGCAATTGCTTTAGCGAGGTTAAAAATTTTACATCAAATTAATCGAAAATGAACTTAAAACTTTAATTCCTATATCTCAGCAACCTGATGGTAATTAACATTTAAAATTTTAAAATGTTGCCATTTATAATGATTAAAACAGTAGAGTTTGATAAGAGTAATAAGTTCCGTATGATAATCATCGATTACTTACAGTGGTACGCGATTATAACAATACAATGAAGACAACTCCCGATTTCAATTTTGATTTATATCAAGGTGTTAAACAGCATGGATACACATAAACATAGAAGTCAAGAGAAGGTGTCATTTAAAAAAGCTTCTCCTTGATTACTTGTAAACAGAAAAAGCTTGTTTTCAATTAAATAAAAAAGTCGTCTTCATTGTATTGATATTATCGCCTGCCAATGTATTCATTTTTGAATAATTAAGAAATTATTACTCTGGAAGTTTTTGATATTTTTTTGACAATCATTGATTGATAAATTAATAAATCATAGAATCAAAATTGTTTTTGTTTATCAGTGAGCATGGAGATGGAGCTTCAAAAAGTTTGCCAGGAAAAATAAATTCAAATAATTTTATTTCAGTTTATCAAAAATAAGTAAAACTTATTTTGCATTTTACTAATGAATAAGTTTAAGTTTATAGGCATGAAATTTTTTTTTTTTTTTTGAAAGTTCTGAAAACTTCTAAGCTTCGAATGGAATTATCAGAATTCAATATACTATTTGAGACAAAAACAACAATTTCTTCGATCCTATATGGTACCGTTGTGAATCCGGCACTAACGTACCTTTTTATTGTATGTTGGGTTTGGATACGTTAAATTACGTTTACAGTGTCTATAATAAGGAATTTTACAGGCCCAAATAATTAGATTTCTCTGTAAAGGAATTGAGTTTTGCCACAAACTCAAATCTTCTGATCCCAATATCTTTGCAACCTGATGGTGCAAACCTTTGATATTTCAAACTTAGCTTATTTTATCTTTAAGTATTAATAGTTTGAAATATCTAAGGTCTACGACATTGGGTTACAAAGATATAGATATTAGAAAATCAGAGTTTGTGGCAAAAACTCAACTTCTTTGCTTGAGTCATGAAATCTTGTATTGATAAATAATAAATACAAAATAAAATCATTAAAATTAAAAAGAAATATTCTTTATGATAAATTTGTTTGGATCAGGATGTTTATCTGGTGGTTTAGGAGTTATGATGGGTATACTGGTTTCAGGCAAAATCAGTGGGGGACATATCAACCCCGCAGGTTGATTCATTAAAAGATTTAATATTTGATAATTTTTAAAAGATTTAAAAAAAGAAAATTGTGTGAAAATTAAACAAAAATTAAAAAAAGAGCAACTAAAATTGGTAAAGGAATTAATCAATAACATGATGACCATTTATTATTAACATTATTTGTTCACAAATAAAAATAATAACTGTTTACATTAAACTATTGTAAAGTATCAGTAACCATGGCGGTTGGACGTCGTCTTCCTTGGGCTGAGCTGCCAGCATATTTATTAGGACAGGTAAAATAACCAAAATAAAGGGATCAAATTTAAACCAAAATTCTTGCAAAAATTGTGATTTTTTCACACCAGAATAAAAATATGAAGAATTGGAGTAGTTTTATGCAGTTTTCACTTAAGGGTATGTGGTTTCGACAAACACTTAAAAGTACATCATCAACATTTTTCTAAATTAGAATTTTCTTGTCTCTCGGGCTCAAACTTTTTTTTGGCCACTCACATGAGCCCAGGGAAGGCTTATTATGTCTGGTCGAAACTGAAAAATTTTGACTGGAAAAAAATGTCAACATTACCGGTTTAAAAAAAAAATTCACCAATTTAAGCGGGGAGATTCTCAAACGTTTTTTTATCTGGGAAACGATGAAAAAATGGCGAGTTTGAAAGCATTATTTAAGAGCTAAGATAGATTCTAGAAAAGGAGCGCAAAGTGCTATAAAAAAAACCGAGTAATTTAGATTTACCTTGAACTTTTAATTGTTCAGATATTCAAATAAAGGTTCGTGCGTGTAATAAGAAGTCAAATAGGAGTGAGGCCTAGTGTAAAGCATACAAATTCATTAAAAAGTAAATATTTGATAATAAATACCAGACGGACTGATAAGCTTCAACAGTGAATATAAGATTCCAAGAACTTAAAATTTATAGATTTCATTTATTTGTATTGAAAAAACGTTATTGGTTCTTTTGAAATGCTTATAATGTTTCTTTTTAATTTAAGCATGTTTATTTTTTTCGTATATCTTTGAAGGGAGTGAATTGAATATGTATAGTATTGTGGACACATTTTTTAGGATTCATTTGAGACACATAAAACGTTTCTACGACGTATAATTACTTTGAGCGCAAAGTCGACGTTCAAAATTATGAATTTGGGTGGGAACGTTTTCACTCAGAATCAGTTTTTTAAAATTATTAAATAACGACGACAAGAAATGTAACAAAAATTCTACAGTAAACTAATTGTTGTTTAGGAACAGGAAGGGCTGGGCACGTTCCGACTTTTTTGAAATCGTTTCTCGCCGTAAATATACTTTAAATTACATATTTTAAATTTAGGGTTAAAAGAATAAGCTGATATAATTTATAATTTTGCGAGAGCGGGGGGAGGGGCAGGAGTCCTAAAATCCTTATATAGAACGCGTTCTTGATAATAAGAATGCGTTAACGATTTTAACCGTTATTTTCAAGCAATTACCGTTCCATTCTTTTACTAATCGTTCCAATATTTTTGAGAACGCGTTCTAAGCGTTCGTTTTTTTAGAATGATGGGATTGTCCTTGATCGTTCCATTCGTTCTCTGTAAAGAACGATCGTTCCACCAGGAACGCATCCAGCCCCAGGAACAGGTTGAGAAAATAAAAATTAACCCTTATCATCGAAAATAAGTAATCTTATTCAATTATCTATATAATAAAACAAGACATTCGTATATATATACGTTGTCTATAGCCGGCCAAACGGCTGGACCGATTGGGCTGAAATTTTTTGTGGACACTCATTGGTGGCCGGGGGTGTTATAAGCTAAAAAAAATCAAATTTTTTTTCAACATTTTTTTAATATTTTTTTTCAACATTTTTTATATATTATTTTTGAAAAAAAATTTTCACGGGCAACGTCGGGCCCTCCAGCTAGTTAGTTTCTATAATCTCTCATATTCAGAAAGATTTTCTAAAATTTTTAGTGAAAAGGTGACATTTGAAGAGTTTGCAAAAATCTGCGAACAAATTCATAGAAGTAAGAAATTCAATATAATGATTGATTCTAACATGGATTTCTTGACAAATTTCTTTTGAGAAATATGTTCTTAAACATCTAATTAGTTTACTACATAATTTTCACTTAATTTTTCATCATCGTTATTTAATAATTTTAAAAAAACTGATTCTGAAAACGTACCCACCCAAGTTCATGATTTTGAACGTTGCGTCGCCTTTGCCCTCAAACTCACTTCGAATGGAAT